GTTGACAGTTCACCGTTACCATACGTCTTCTCTATAGGAACGGTTTTGTCAACCATCCCAATAGGACTATATGTAGTAACAGTTTTGGAAATTTTTTAATATAGGAACGGGTATTTTGTTCACTCCTCATTCCCCCCCCCCTCCCCTGAATTTTGCTAAACCCGCTAATATAACCCCTTTTTCCTTTTATTTCTTATTTATTTTATTTTGGTAAATATAATAACTAAATTAAAATGTATTCGACACTTCCAATGCTCTCGTCTTCCTCATCAAGCTCGTATTCTTGGCAGCAAACGTTCCAAACCTAAATTCTAACCTTGCTCAATTCACCAGCAAACGTAATCTCACCTTCCTCAAATCACCATCCTAAATCCCTCATTCGCAAATCACCGTCCCAAATCCCCAGCATTTGGTTTATTCGCAAATCACCAGAAAACTTCCTCAAATCTCATTGCTGGTGATTTACTTTCATCTCATTTGCATTTGCTCCTAAATTCCCAAATCCTCAAATCTATTTGTTAACTAAAAATCCCCAAATCTCGATTGCTAACCCATAACTCCCAAACCCCCAAAGTCCCAAACTCCATTTATTTCACTCGAAGGATCTGAAGAACAGAGGAATAATTTAAAGGTAGCGATTACGGGTGTAAAAAATATTTTAAATCGCGAGAAAGTTTCGACCCAAAAGGCAATCAGTGAGAAATCAACTTCAGGTAATTTTTCCTTTGTAATTTGGGCATTATATTCTATAATCGTTCTTTTTTCCTTTAAGCTTTATGGTGTGAGAAATGTATATGATTTCACTTTAGTGTATATTCTAGCCTAGTTTCTCGAATTAATTTTCTAACTTAGTTAAGGCACACAAAATACCAAAGCATTTTGGGAGATGACCGAAGCAGCTTTGGAGATTTTGTATAAGTCGGGTCTAGCAGTCAGTTTTCAGCAAGTATTCAAATCTCTGTGTTTATATACCACCAAAACCATGTTCTTCAGAATAAACAATTATTCTTACTGCAACAGAATAAATCATGTTCTCTGTGCTAGTTTGTTTAAATGTTTATGCGAAATCCTGCAATACGAAGTCCTCCAACATATGTCAAACTAGGGACGCCGATGATGTTTGGTGTGTTAATACAGCTCCACCTGTTTACACAATACTTAATACTTCTAGCTTAGAAAGTTGTTACATGTGAAAGTCCAAGATTGTTGCTTTATTAAAGAAAGGTTCCAGATTATTGCTTTAACAAGGCCAAACTCCTAATATCCCTCTCTTTTCATTGTATACTTTGCTCTAAACTGGATATCTACTATATGTTCCTGCTTGTTAGGTTCTATGAACTCTCATTTTCAAATAATATTGTGAATTGAAGCATGGTTTCATGAATCAACGCATGCATCTAAGCTTAAGACAATAAAGAGAAAATAGTTATTCCATGCCCATTTTCTTACCTTATCAATTATGTAAGTATATGTTTTACACATTGTGATGAATTTGTTGTCTGGCCATCGTTCGCTACAACGAGCCTCCACAAAGCCATATATTGGTTGGCAGAAAACCTGATAAGGACAATGTATATTTGAGCAAAATGAGTTTTCTGTTTGAATTTAGGTTTTGCAAAATGAGTTGTGAGATGATTTGTCTTTTGTGAGGCATCCCATGTTCCAATGTTTTTAGTTTCAGTCTGAGTTGAAGTACTAAATTTATGCACGCAAATGGTTTTATCAGCTGTTACCTTTTCTCATTATTAGTACTTTCAAGTTTCAACAACTGAAGTATGTACGTTCTGAATGTGGATATCAGTGGCTGTAATCTATTGAGATAAGCAGTGTTACATTCATAGTTGTTCAAATTAAGTAGCTTTCGATATATTTAACCTGACCTGAAAGCTCTATTTGTGGATATCAATATCTCCTGAATAGATGGTATCCCATAAAAAGATGATCCATTTTTCAAATCCAAGAATAGATATAAATGGGCATGACTTTGGACAATCTAACTAGCTTCCTTTTTTCTTGGCTTTATAGACTCTTTTTTGTAAATGTTCCACTTTTCTCTTTATCTCTGCCTTTTGTGTCTGCAAGTTTTGTGACTGTTGATTTTGTCTTTGGATCTGTGCATTGTGATCTTTTTACCAATATGCAATATGCATGTTGCTGATTGCTATGTTTGCACTAGATGCGCACATGTTTGGCCATGTTTTCTTTCTGTATTCTGCTTGATGACACTGAACAACTGCTCCATTTTCTGCATCGTAATTCTTCCATATGGCCATTTGAACAGCACATTCTCGTCCAAGAACTGGGGAGTGTGTTCAACTTTTGAACTTGGTCATCCTTTACTTCATGCATATTATTGCTGATTGCTATATTTGCTCCAGATGCGCACATGTTTGGCCATGTTTGCACCAGATGCGCACATCATTGAAGCAATCAGTTTTGCTGTTGATTGTGTGTGCGATACAGTGATAACATATGCCTATCATGATGTGCCTCTCTTCATGTGATATTGAAACGTTGATCTGCACTTTGATATCACCTCTAAGCACCTCAACTCCTTCTGTATGTACTTGCCAATAGAATCTGCATAAAGTATATGGCAGCAGAGTATTCTTCCAAATAGTAGGGCATAGAGACAGTAACTTTTGCCTTCCCTCAGAATATGTGAAATTCGAATATTGCATTCCTCCATCAGCATTTTAATTGAAAACTTTCTGTGTGTGTATTGTGTGTGCGTGTGTTTGAATTACGCTTAAGGTAGTTGGCAGAGAAGAGATTTATATAGCAGCTATAGAACTTGAAAACTTACAGGTGAAGCTTTTTGAAGATTAGGTTCAGAGGCAAATGACTCTTTGTTGTATGTTGGTCAATCAGTTCTCTTCCTTTGCTAACCTATATTGTGTTTGCTTTTCAGAATCTGAAAAATATTTGAATAGTCATGAATCAAGAAGGGTGCTCAAGCAAAAATAAGAAAATATCCAACCGCATTCCAGCTGGATCACTTGCATCTTTGCGAAATCAAAGGGTTTCGTCGTTGACAACAAAAAGAACCTTCCAAGCTACACGGTCTAATACAAATGAAGAACGACAATCAGAAGGTGGATTACCTTCATCTTTGCGAAACCAAAAGGTTTCGTCGTTGACAACAAAAACATTCTTGAAATCTATAAGGTCAAATGCAAATGAAGAACGACAATCTGAAGGTGGATCTCAATTGCAAGAACAAGTGCATCAAGTCCCACAGAATTGCACCTCTTCAGCAACACAAGGAGTACATGAACAAGTGCAACAAGCGAATATGGATTGCATCACTCTTGCATCACAGGGAGTACATGAACGATCTGATGATTCTACCAATCATGAAGCAATTGAACAATTTGAGGAACAAGGCAAATATATATAAATTTTAATCATAAACTTAACTAAATATAGTGATTAATGATTATCTTTGTTTTGTACTATTGCAGGCCCCTCCTCGCCAAAAAGAAAAAGAGGTCGTACTCAAATGCCAAGTGTTCATGTTAGAAAGGAGCGTAAAATAATCACTCTAAATGAGTTTAATCAACCCATTTGTCCTACCAAAGAGGTTGTAAAAGAGTTGGGTAGCTTCCCCGGCACATTGGCAAGGAGTGGGACTTTTTGTCCTCTTAATGTAGTTAATTGGAGGAAACTAGACACAAAAGATGATATGTGGAAATATATCAAGGTATGAAGTTGCCAGTGTCCAATAAACATGGATGATATTTCTTATTTCTTACACTAACCCAATTGCACTAAATTTGTAGGAAAAATATGACATTCCCGACGAGGTGAAAAAATGGATTTTTGAATCAGTTTGTAGTGCTTGGAGAAAGTATAAGAGTCAATTGAAGACAACCCACTTCACAGCCTATGAGAATGATGAGCTTCGAATGGAGAATAGGCCAGTAGATGTTCTGTAATCTCACTTTAAGGATCTTCTTAACTATTAGAACTCCGATCCTCACAAGGTAATTACATCCAGAATCTCTTGTCTAGTCTTCAGTGAGTCAGTCTAGTTTTCGGTGAGTCAGTCACACTTAGGAACTGTTCTGACTTCTTGCCATAGCTTTTTAAGTCCCAGTTTAGTCAGTCACATTGTCACCCACCCCTTGGTAGTAGTTGCCCTGTCTTACTGGTATCATTTTATAGTCCAACCATTTCAATTTGAGGCATTACAAGCAGCTAGCTTATATATTATATAGAAAAATGAACAAGCAATCATCATACTTGGAAACTCAACTTCAGATTTCAGTCAAGTTAATTAATTTGTTAGAGAGTGGATAGGAAATATATTGGTCAAACTAGAACCAATAAGGGCCACAACAAAATTCTAATCATTCTTGTGGAAAACTCTATAGACTCTTTTAATAATATAATAACCACCATGGAAATAAGGAACCAGTGACTTATTTTAAAACTTGTAAAACCACAATCCTGTTTGGTTTTCCAATAAGATCCTATAAAGTCCATAGTGAGTAAAATCCATGTACAGGAAATTTTGTCTTGTGTTGTCTGTATCTCACTTGTAGAGGCACAAGTTAATCTTCTGGCTGAAATAAAGTATAATCTGATGTTGCTTCGCTCTTGTGCACCTGCATGAAAAATGATCCCAATTTGTGAGATACACATGTCCCTTCAATCTCAAAATGCATATCTGTGTACATATATCTATAGGGAATCATCGAAAAATGCTACTCAATAGTATAAACTTGTCATATTCTTTTCTGCATTGTGATATTCTATATAATGTATAAGCTAGCTGCTTTTTAAGATGATGCTGCAGTATGCATTCTCTTTTAGTATATGTAATTCTGCAAATATTAGTATTTATCACATAGTAATATAGCATCACTGTTGTCATATCTTTTCACATGTTTTAGTATCTAATGTGCAAGACTAATTACTGTTGGTTGCTATTTGGTTGACTCGTTTATTTGCAGAAAATGACCGAAACCAATATAGTGAATCAAAATAAGTTGAGTGTCCACACACAGCTGGCAGAACACCTTTTGCTCTAATTCGCGAGGTTTGATGTTTTATCTTTCTTATTTTTTTAATATTATGAACTTGCTAACTTTATATGGAAAGATTCTTATACTTGTTTTCATGTAACTAGGAAAAAAAGAAGGAAATCTCTGATACTTCAGATACTGTATCAAGTAAGGACATGTTTGTGGCTACAAGAAAAAGAAAACTTGGCCGCGTATACAAAAGCTCATATGACAATACGATTAGTAAAATTGTACGAAATTTCTAATTTAAAGTTTGTCATGCTTATTTATTTGTTCTTAATTATTGATTCAACTTTAGTTACTTAAAACTCTTTTTTCTCGCATTTGGTTTGTAGGCTGAAATGGAGAGAATGCAATCTACTCAGGAAAGTGAAGATGACAGTCATTCAATTGATGCTTTTGCATCTGTCGTGGGACCTGAACATCCAGGTCGCGTGAGATTGTATAGACGAGGGGTTACCAAGACTGTGTTAAAAGGGCAAAAAGGGAATCTTGGATCTTTTGATGAGAGGATGCAGCAAAAAATGGAGGAAATGGAAGAGAGGATGCAACAAAGAATGCATGAAAAGTTGAATGAACAAAAGGATGCTATGGAACAAAATATTACAATGATTGTCATCGCACGACTTCATCTTCTGAACCTAGATTTGCGACTTGATCCTGACATGTTAAGGTTCAGTGCACGTTCACCTGTAAATGCTTCCGCTGCACAATAAGCCGTTGTTCAACTAAACAGTCGATCATCTGCTGGTAGTAACAATCAAGGTCAGTACGTACCAAATATTATAACAATCAACTTCACCTGAATTTAAAAGGTAGAGATGCAACGTCTGTGTGTTGGAACTTTTTGCTTCTTTTGTTTAAGATCTTCTTGATGTACTTTGCCAATATCATTAGCAATTCTAATCAGTTGTGCCTATCTCATCACGATAATCTGATTGTTTAACTTGTATCTTGCATGATTAACTCAACACTTGTATTAAAAGGAAGTACCCAAACTTTTGTACCAATGTTAACCATTGTGTGATTTGGAGGATTCCCGGTGTAGTTGAACCAATTCAAAGGATTAATAGGAAAATAAGGGCTATAAACACCATTTGATTGTCCGATGAAATGAGATTGGAGTAGTGCAGTTGTCCAATGAAAATAAGGGCTTAGGTCAACTTCTAAATTCTTTGTTGGTTGTCGGTGAATCTGGTGGATTAGAGACTTATATGTCACTATAAGGATAAGTGTGAGATTGGAAGATTTTTAGTTGTAGAGAATCCTTCATTTATCTTAAAAGGCAAATTATTTGGCTTTGGCATGAGATGGACTAGAATATAGCAAAACATACACAGAGAATGATAGCCGACTCTAAATAATTTCAGATTGATGTATAGCTGATTGATTGCTGATTTATATATTGCTTCGTGCTGCATATGCAAGTGAATTTTGTGATGTGTGGTTCTCACTCTCTTCCTATATGTTTTAGAGCCTCCATTAGCTCTAGATCTGTGTAGAACATTGGTACATTTAGAATTTTGTATTAGGTTAGAGTGTCAGATTGTTCTTATAGTGGATTTCGATTTTGTTTTCATATTTCAAATTGCTACTTGGATTTGTAGCTCTAGTCAAGTGTGAGCTAGCTTGTCCTTGCCAGTACTAGGGATAATCAGGGTTTCTAGCTTATGATGTGTCAATGAGTCTGTACTCTGTTGACCCTTGATGACCAGATGTCTATGGGTTTTATAAGTGACTTGGTATTCGGCTATATTGCATCGTTAGGGAATAAGACTTTCGAAATCTTAGTAGACATATACCATTTTGAGAATACTGTCACTTTCAAAGAAATGAAACCAAGTTTGGCATGATGAATTATGGTGTAGTTGTATATTCTCGCTTTATATAGGTGTGCGCTCAAACAATGGTCATTGATCAGCTGAAAGAACGGTTTAAATAGTTGATGTTTCGTGCTGGTTTTGTAATTATGTTTGTGATTCTTCTTATGAATTATTCTTTACTTTGCCATCATAGCTTGATAGTTTAAAAGTCTTGGTCTTTGGTAATAATATCAGATTGTTATAATGTTGCGTATAGTTTGTTGAGATGAATAAGTTGGATCAGTAAAAGAAGAACGAAAACAGTTAAATGCTTGAGTATTCTTAGACCGGATTCTGTTGAAGGGTAATAACTTTATTTATCCTCTTTTGCAGGTGGAGTAGATCAAGAAATTGATGATGAAGACGATGAAGAACTAGACCTTACTTGAAATGAATTTTGTATTGTTATAGATGAATGTTCTAGGAATCTTTTGTTACCAACATTTTTGAAACTTATTTACTCTTTTGAAATGTACTAAACTTATGCACTCATGGGGTAGAACATTTGCTTTATGGATAATTTTATATTATTAATAGTTTCATTTTATTATGTACTTAAATTTTAGTGCTATTATAATTTATTATATGTATAAATATTTATTTATAACAGGTGCTATATTTTGGTTTTAACTGAACTGATACAATAGCCTACCAGAACCGTTGCAATAGGACAGAAATGGCGTTCCAGTAGACAATGTAAACCTTTGCAATTGGTCCCATAAACTGTTCCAAATACAAATATAACCGTTACCATAGCCTAAAGAAACCATGGCTATATCCAACATAACCGTAGCAATAGCTTACATAAGTGTTGCTTTAAATAATATGGTAACGGTTAAAAACCGTTGTATAAACAATACAGTAACGGTTTTGAACCGCTCCAATTGAAAAGAATAACCGTTCCAACAGAGAAAGGGAAAACCATTGCGATAGACTTATTTATTGTCACGGCGATGCAAACCGTTGCAAGAACCGTTCCAGTAGACCTATGGGTACGGCGGATGATGTGACGGTCTGTAAACCGTTCCAATATCCCTATGGCAACGGTTTTGCTGTCTGTTGGAACAGTTTTCCAACCGTTACCATAGACCAATTTTTCAGTAGTGTAAGGTCGATCAGGAGATGGCGATTCATTTGAAGGATTCTACCGATGCCCAAGCCGAGTTGAAGAGGGTCCTTGATCGTGGAGAGAAGATCGAAGAATATGCTCGTTGCAAATCTCGGAGAAAGGTTCTCGAGGAGATCAGTGTCAAGGGATTTGTTCTCTCGGAAGAGTTGGCACGAGCGAGGGCGGACGAGCGCGGTGATCAGTTACTCCTGTCCGATGCCGAGGAGAGTGAAGATGAGGTCGATAGGCCTTAGCTCTCGGGGGTGGGGCATAGACCTCGCCATCCCGTATGTAGTACTCTTTTAGAGCATGTATGTAGATGGAGAATGTCTTTTTCCGTGTATGTACCTTAATAGAAAAACCTTTTGCGGCTTTTTTGTTCTTCTGTTCCCCCTTTTGTTTCGCTTATGGCCAGGTGGATTGGTTTCAGAGTCGGTGAGAATTATCAGATCCGTGATACAGCCCTGGGGCTCATTAGGCAGCCCGGGGGCTCTTATGCGCCTGGTTGGTGCGACCTTTGGAGTAAGCAGGCATTTGAGCACTTATGCTTTTGTTCAATTATTTCGGGTAGAGTCTCTGAGTCAGGTTTTTACTCGAGCTCATATATCCCTCAAGCTTTTCATGTTAGCATGGGCCGGTGGCCTTTACGTTTTAACTCTCTCGGATCCAGTCTTTGAGTCGGGTTACGACTCGAGCTCAGTCGACCCTCAAGTTTTACATTTGTATTTGGCGGGCGACAATGGCTCTTACGCCTTCGATTAAAGTTATATTTTATGTAAGCTGGCGACAGTGGCTCTTACGCTTCGCCCTTAGGCGTGTGTGTGGCCCTGAGGCTCGTTAGGCTGGCGACAATGGCTCTTACGCTTCGCCCTTAGGCATATGTGTGGCCCTGAGGCTCGTTAGGCTGGTGACAATGGCCCTTACGCTTTGCCCTTAGGCATATGTAGGCTTTAGTTTCCTCTCATTAAGGACTTTTGCAATGATTTTGCCTTACTTGTCGTCGGTTCGGGAAGAACCTCGATTTCCAGTCGTTAGCGGCGATGTTCGAGCACCTCGGAAGGTTTGGCTCGTAGGCGGAGTAGCTCGAAGCCTTATGATTTAGAGCTGACATGGTCAAAGCTCTTTTGCCTGTTGAGGGTAGCCTGTTTAATCGGTTCTTTTGGAAGTAGACTCGAAGTAATGGACTATGATTTTGTAGCGACGATCGGGCGTCCCCGAGTCGCGTTAGTTTGGCTGGTGCAGCCGTACACCGTAGTCATTTATGTTTGGCCGGAGCCATTTTTTGGTCCGGAGTATAGTAGTTTAGGCGTCTATATCGAGGGTATGCCTTTTTAGGGGTCTTACAAATTCGATATATATCCTGAACTTCGAGATTGAATTTATGCCTGTAATAAGGTCTTACAAAACTTTCATGCCTTTTGAGGTCTCACAGTTTTTGATGATACTTAGTGCAAGTATGATTCATGCCTTGCTTGAAGGTCTTACAGTTTGCGTTGTTATTTCGCGGGAGTTTTACAAGATCGAGTCTGCCCGCTCGGGGTCTTACGGCCTCGGGTGTTTTGCTGAATGGCGATTGGCGATAGTCTCCGAGTCATCGAGTTCGTTTTGGCTTGAGAGCCATTACTCGTGAGCCTGAGATTGCATCATTGAGGGCTTACGACTTTGGAGATTCCGACCATGGGGTTGTGGGTATGCGGAGCTCTTTGGCGCTAGTCTCCGAGTATTCGGGACGCTTTCTTTTTGGAGATAGTTAATGATCTTCGTGCTGCCTCGTTGAGGGCATATTTAGACTGGAGTTTCGACCCTGAGGTCATGCGGGTGCCGAATTATCGATGCTAGTCTCCGAGTATTCGGTACGTTTTCTGATGGAGGGATCGTTCTGGTAAAAAAGCACTGGGTTTCCTTGGAGCATGAATCATGTAGGCAAAAAGCATTCTTTGATTATTTGACATGTGCCTCCGCCATCGGGGCGCGGTTGTGCGGACACAGTTCATTTGATCGTTTGGTCAGGTACATCATTTCCTCATTGGGACCTTGTTTGGCATTTCTTGGTTCTTATGAGCAGATGATCTTCCGAAAGGATGTCCTTTGGCATTCGTGATTGATAGCAAAAGAAGCCTTGAAGACTTGTTGGATTCCCCTTAGGTAGCATATAGGTGTTGCCTCGTTAAAAACCTTGCCGGCAAAACCCTCTTCGGGACAAAAAGCTCGGTCAAAGGAAAAGAGTGCAACGGATGCCTTTAAAACCTTAGGGTCTTCGAGTTGGACGTGCGTTTTTGACTGCTTTGATCAAGTGCATGTATAAAGGATTAGTATAAAATATAAATCGAGAAGGGAGATGGTTATACCTTATCGCGGGATGCGTTTGGCGATGTTCCGAGGTCTGGTACGCCTCCGTTGTTTGT